GTTGGGGTTAGGATAGGAGGTGGGGTAGGGTAGGGGGTGTGGTTACGGTTGGTGATGGAGTAGGGTCAGGGTTGGGGTTAGGATAGGGGGTGGGGTAGGGTCAGGGGTGGGGTTAGGGTTGGTGGTGCAGTAGTGTAGGGGTGGTGTTAGGGTTGGGGATGGAGTAGGGTCAGGGGTCAGGGGTGGGGTATGATCAGGTTCCGTGTTAGGATTGGTGTGGGTCGATTTGGGGGGGCCCTCACATTCAGAACCTGAGCTCCCAGGTGACTGTAGGTCTAGGTGCTCCTACTGGTGTAATATCCTCAAAGGACAGATGTCAGAGGGTCAAGAGGTGGTGTGTTCTGCTTAATTTGGCTGGAGCTATTAAGGAACAGCGGAAGTTTTAATAAGGAAGAAGCAACTTTGGGAAAGCAAACACAATTTTGGAACATCTGGGTTTTGGTGGAGACAGCAGGGCAGTTAATTCCACAGTAGGGCCAATGCTAAGTGCTGACTCTGAACTGTGATTTCATCTCTTCTTGAACTTTATTTCTTTTTAACTTTTATTTATTTATTTGTTTCTGATACAGAGTCTCACTCTGTCGCTGGGCTACAGTGCCGTGGCGTCAGCCTTGCTCACAGCAACCTCAAACTCCTGGGCTCTAGCGATCCTCCTGCCTCAGCCTCCCGAGTAACTGGGACTACAGGCATGCGCCACCATGCCTGGCTAGCTTTTTCTATATATTTTTGTTGTCCAGCTAGTTTTTTTTCCCCATTTTTAGAAGAGATGGGGTCTTGCTTGCTCTTGCTTAGGCTGGTCTTGAACTCCTGACCTTGAGCGATCCTCCCGCCTTGGCCTCCCAGAGTGCCAGGGTTACGGGCGTGAGCCACAGCACCCGGCCTCTTCTTGAACTTTAAATTGGTATGTGTCGCCAGGAAACCCTCTTCTCAAGCCCGGGACTCAGTTATTCCTCCATAAAATAAAGGGCTGCGCGCAGTGATCTCTTAGGTGGTTTCCGGGGCTAACACCACATGATGACAACGGTCCCGATAACAGGACAGACCCCCTGCCACTCTGCACGGCGAGCTCCCAGGAATGGCCCCTAACTGGCTGAGAGACCCACGGCTGCCTCACTGCTCTCCTGGGGCTGCCGAGATCCTCCGTGCGGTGGGCGTTCCCCCTCCTCCCCGGGCCCGGATGAGCAGTCGGGGCTGCTCCCCTCAGAAGCCACCACGTGCCGCAGGGCCCAGAGGCGGGGGACTGGCGGGAGAGCCAGGGTTTCTCCAGTATTGGCTGAACAGTCAAATCACGAGAGGGCTTTATCTCAAGGGTAAGGTGAGTTCCGGACACCCAGGATCGGATGACCCAGCACTTGGGCAAACAACAGCCAGTATGTTTTGGTTATAAAAAGTAACACCTGCTTTCTCTACCTAACGCCACTGTTATATTAAAAACTCAGGCCGGGCGCGGTGGCTCACATCTGTAATCCTAGCACTCTGGGAGGCCGAGGCAGGCGGATTGCTCGAGGTCAGGAGTTTGAAACCAGCCTGAGCAGGAGCGAGACCCCGTCTCTACTATAAAAAAAATAGAAACGAATTGGCCAACTAATATATATAGAAAAAATTAGCTGGGCATGCTGGCACATGCCTGTAGTCCCAGCTACTCAGGAGGCTGGGGCAGGAGGAGTGCTTGAGCCCAGGATTTAGGTTGCTGTGAGCTAGGCTGATGCCACGGCACTCACTCTAGCCTGGGCAACAAAGGGAGACTCTGTCTCAAAACAAAAACAAAACCAAAAACAAAAACCTCTGAAGGCAGAGCGAGCGCGGGTTTTCCACACCGTTGCCGGCTGTTGGTGCAGATGCCGCGCTGCCCGGCGGGTGACTTTGCCCGTGGGTGGCTTTGCCAGTGGTGGCTCTCCGCCCGCGCCCTCAGTGAGGGAGAACTCCAGGCGGCCCCGCCTGCCTGTGGTTTCCGTGCAGGAAGGAGGTTTAGTATCAGGGCGAGGGGCTCCTGTGCACGCTGGCAGGGCGGCGCCTCTCTGGGACTCAGCCCCTCCCGTGTGGGACGAGGGTGACTCGGTGGCTACTCTACAGGGTCTCGGCTCCCAGACAGCCTGGAGCAGAGTCAGGAAGGGGCCCACCTCAGGGGCCACGGCCGTGCTCCCGGAGGGAGAGGCAGGGACTGGCGGAGCTGAGCCAGCCTGTGCCCTCGGGGGGGGGGGCGCGTGCCGGTGCCCACAGCCTCAGTTCTGGGCCGCGCTTTGTCAGCAAAGCCCTGCGTGTTGGCACTGGTCACCTCTTCAGTCCTCAAGGCTCCGTCCTTCCCCCAGATTCACAACCCTCCTCCAGGAAGCCCGGAGCCCCCTCCTAGGAGGAGGAGGAGGAAGAGACGAGTCTTGGAGCCCACACGGAACCCACAGCCGCTGGGAGGCGCCGGAGCAGTGGCCGGGAGCCCTGGGGACAGGGAGGCCGGTGGGGACGGGGAGGCCGGTAGGGGACGTTGATAGGGGAGGACCAGCTGGGACGGAGTGGCTGGCTGGGACAGGAGGTGGTGGGGGGACATGGAGGCTTTGTGCTGGACAGGGGAGGTTGGGTGGAGACCGAGGGAGGTTGGTGAGGATAGGGAGGTTGGTGAGGACAGGGAGTTGGTGGAGGACAGAGCCGGGTGGGGGGACGGGAGGCGGTGTGACGGGAGCGTGGTGTGGACGAGGCCGGTGGGGAGGGAGCAGGTGGGGGAGGGGAGGCAGTGGGACTGGGAGGCCGGCGAAGGGGCAAAGTGCAAACTGCAGCAGAGTCAGGGCCACCAAAACACTGAGACATGATTATGGCGAAAACACAGTTTCCAGGGATCACAGACACGTGTAATATGTAAGTACATGTTTACGGCAAAGCCCCGAGGGGAGGAGTCAGGCCACGCTGACGGGCAAAGGCTGGACCCGCGGCGGCTGCCCCACTCGCGTCTGCGCTCCACAGACACCAGCGGGAACACCGGGCCCGTCTTTGGGGAACAGTCTCACTGGTGATCTTGGAACACAAGGCTGCTTTGCCGAGTCCACGCCCAGCCGGTTTGTCCCAGTTGGGCCGTCTGCCAGCCCGGGGTGCCCCAGCCCTCGCCGCCCCTCCCACGCGAAAGCTCAGCCCCAACACCGACCGTGCGCGGCTTCCGACGGCATCAGAGCTGCACACACTGTGCATGAGACACGCCCAGACGGGAGCGACCTTCACAGAGGACCACGGAGGGGACAGGCCACCTGTCCTTCTCACGCACCACTGAGGAAGGTCCCCGCTCCGCGGTGCTCCACCTGCCCGGAGGAGGCAGCCCCGAGGATACGCTCGTGAGTGCCGGCTTTCCGAGGAGCAAGGCTTCCTACTTGCAGAGGAGGATTTGGGATCCAGCCCTGGGGCCCTGCAGGAGAGAAGTCGCGGTGAGCTCACGGACGGGCAAGGCACCTTGCTTTGGCCCTGGGGTGCCCAGCAGGCTAGTCAGGCGCCTGGTGCCGTCCGTGTGGCTGGAGAAGCTGCCGTTCGTGCACTGACATTTGCAGAGAGCCTCACGCCCAGGTTGGGGCGTTTCGGGTTCCACCCGTGGGAGGCAGGTGCCAAGACGGCCTGCTCTCAGCAGAGTGTCCGGGGCGCCCCACCCACCTCCAAGGACGGGATCTGCTCGGAACTGAACATCTGAAAGTGGACTGATCGTGTCGGACAGGCCCCTCGTGTATGCGTGACGGTTCAAATATAAATGTTTGTGTTTAATGGACAGATAATAATTGCATATATTTACACCATAAAATGTGATGCTTTGCATTGGGGAATGACTGTATCAAACTAATTAAATGCCATAAAATGTGATGCTTTGCATTGGGGAATGACTGTATCAAACTAATTAAATGCAGGTTTGCATTGGGGAATGACTATATCAAACTAATTAAATGCAGGTTTGCATTGAGGAATGACTGTATCAAACTAATTAACATATCACCTCACACACTTTTTTTTTTTTTTTTGCAATGAGTACATTTAAAATCTAAAAAAATAAAATCTATTCTTTTAGCAGTTTTGAGACACACACAGACATTTATTATTATCAACTGTGGTCACCAAGCCACGCAACAGATCTCGAAAACACGAACTGCTGTCTAACCCAAACTCCGTGTCCTCTGACCAGCGTCCCCACTCCCGGAAGCCACCACCCACTCTCCGCTTCCTCAAGCTCAAATGTCAAACTTGCACAAGTGGCTTTTTTAAGATGCCATCGCTTGGGGTCCGGCATACAAGGTAAAAACGGTATAAAGTACATTTAGACTGATTTTTTTTTTCCCACACCGATTATAATTACTCAATTTAAAAAAAGCAAATTTTAAGAGTCAGCATATTGTTCCGGCTTCTAACTAGTGTCCTGGCATCTCCCAGCCAGTTCTCAGCTCAGGACGAGGAAACACTCCTGAGCTCCGAAGGCGGTCTGCACACTCGAAAGGCATTTTCACTCCTCCCCCTCCGGTTTGCTGTCTATCCTTCTTAAAAAGCAGGTTCAAATTCTGACAGATTAGTCTTCTGTTATAACTGCGATTCCGTACGAGAGAAAGCCCAGAGGAAGGCGCAGAACCGAGCGGGAAACTCGCAGGAACAGGAAGTGCGGAGCGGAGGCTGCGTGGGGGTGCTAGCCCGAACGCCCTGTTTGGTGACCTCTGGGGTGTGGCCGGAAGGACCGGGCACGCCCCAACCCCCACAGATGAGACTACACGCACCTGCTCCGGGTCCTGGGCCATGGCGCTGCACCGTGAGACCCCCACGTCCTGCCCTTGTCCGCATCCCGTTTGGGCGGTGGCCTTCCCGCCTCTCTCCGTGACCGGCAGCGTGGATCTAGCTCCAGAGCGCGTCCTGTGGGCAGAAAGGCACCTTGTCACAGCCACCCGCACCCAGAGGAACCACGGGGCCAGCTGACACGCCCCCGTCATGACTATAATCGGAAGGGGCACTTTCTCCTGGGCCATGTGTCCCCTTCCTCCAGGTCCTCGTGCCGGTGGGTCCATCGGTCCATTGTGACGCGGGCAAGTCAGTCCACGGCGCGGGATCGTCAGGGCGAGGCCGGCCGTGGAGCGCGGCGTACGGACCGGGAACACCCGCCGCGGCGAGTGAAAGTGCTGAGCCCTGACCCCGCCTCCCTCAAGTTATTCCATCACGTTTTAGGTACTAAAGAAATCACATACTCGGTGAATCGCAACGACTCTGAGGGAAAACTAAATCATGAAACACGAGCCCACTGCTCAAATTCACTCGAATTCACCCTGATTCCCGTCACTGCCTTTTCCGTGTTCACCCCACGTGTGAGCTGTGGTCACCACACACCTGCACCGCTGTGTGCTCCTGCTGACCGGAGGTCACCTGGCTCTGCACCTGCACAGGTGCTGTGGCCAGGAGGAGACTGTCCTAGTCTGTCCGTGCTCTGATGTGGGACCTTGCTTGGTTTCCCTCTGTGAGCTGTTGGAGCAAACCCTGGATTTGTGCATAAAACACCTTTTCTCCTGCAGGTGTCTTGTCCCAGAGCACTCCTGGCAGGGAGAGGTCACAGAACTCACGCGGTCTACACGGATAGCTCCCCTCTCTTCCCACAAGCGCCCCCCTCATTTCAGGTGCCACCAGCACTTACGAACACCCCCATCCCACCCCCTCCACATCACTGGATTATCACTATTTTTAATATTGTTGTCACGCTTTTTAATTCAGTAACTTTAGATGGTATCCTAGGATGAATCAATGCACTTTTCTCTTGATTACTACCGTGTATCCCCGAAAATAAGACCTACCCATAAAATAAGCCCCCTAGCAGGATTTCTAAGCATTTGCACAATAGAAGCCCCACCCCGAAAATAAGACCTAGTGACGGGCGTGGCTACGCAGCGCATCTGCACAACCCGTGCATGTCCTTGCAGATCGGGAAAGAAGACGAGCAGCCCTTCTCATCTGCCCCGTGAGAGCTCTATTGCTCGACATGAGAGATTGGGGCCAATGGTTCTGAAGGAAATAGAGTAGCAAGGAATTCAGGATGGAACTCGGGGTGTGGAGAGTTATGATGATGTTCCAGAAGACGATTTAACTATATTTGAATAAATGTAGATTGTTGTACCGTCCTTAAAAAAAAATAACACATTCCCTGAAAATAAGCCCTAGTTTGTCTCCTTGAGGAAAGATAAATATAAGACCTTGTCTTATTGTCAGGGAAACACGGTAATAAGAACGAGGTCTTGGCCTCCTGTTGGACCACTGGGGTTTAGAATTAACATTCTGTGTGTCTTTGGCATGTTACCTGTTTGAGTTTAATTATGGCTTTAAAATGAGTCCCCACTGGCACGTTCCTAGCACTAAACAGCAAAGCAGGGCACGTTCAACTTCCTGGTGGCAAATGTCATTACATTTTTATTGTTTGCCAAGATGTAAGGAATTATTCTTTGCATTTGTTGAAATTTCCAATTTTTATTTCCCACAAGTAATGCGCAGACTTGCTTCCTGAAACACTTGAGAGCTAAAAGCGTGTTCCGAGTCTTAGAGCCCAGCATGGTGTCTCAGCGGCCTCATCACTTCTCATTTCCATCTGGCTTGTTGTTAATGAGGGATCAATGCAATAAAATAACGGGACAGCTACAGAAGCACCACTTCATAGAAAAATGCAGGGGTGCCACCAGGATGAATAGCTGGGCTGCAGGAATTGTCATCAAGTGTTAATTTAATATTTTTTAAGCAGCAAAGGGATCAAAATGTTTATTTTGAATGCTTACTTTAACAACAAAAAAAAATCATACCATTAGGATATGCTGCAGAAACTTTGAAAAAAATAAATTGTATGTAAAAACCAACCCAACTAAAAAAAAGCAATTATTATGCAGAAGTGCACGTTAGGAAAGATGATAATATATGAATGAAATCGTATTCATTAAGGACTGTCCCACATCCTTGATATCTTTGCATGATAATTTGCAAAGGTACTTGTACACTTATGCACAACTTTACCGGTACAACCTCTGTTTTCTTAAAAGGAGATGAGTTTTCCCTTTCAGCCACTGGGTCAGCAAGACGACATCACGACCAGTGATGAGAAGGTGGTGGTGTTCACGGGGCATGGGCCACCACGGGGCGTCTTGGTGGGAACACTGACAACTCGCCGTCATTCCATACTTCAGACAAGTCATCTGTGATTTAATATGTTTCTGCAACAGTAGCATTGCTCCCTCCGTAGGAAAATGATTTTTGCAGTTTACAACGCGGAGGACACCGGTCTCCACGCAGCTACGGGCAGGTCCCCACCTGCCTTCCAGTGGCGGGCCACCAACCGTCCTGGGTGGCAGCGAGCGAGTGGCGTGGTGTGGTCAGACTTCCAGACCCGCCACCACGCAGGTGCGGCTCTGCCCTCTGGCCTGGAGTCCCGGGAAGCCCCGACGTGCGCACAGGAGAAACCGCAGTGCGGCTGCCTCAGGCTGGCATGTCATATGCACACACGTGTGCGTGCAAACATGCAACATACACACAACAGAGTGGCACTGGCAGAACCCAAAAGCCGGTTAAGAAAAAAAAAGGGCCACCGGCCCTTTGCAACCCCGGGGTTGCCCCCCCCGGCCCGAACCACCCACAGAAAACACACCTGAGAGAAAAAAAACCTCCCCCAAAAGGTGCACACACACACACTAGAACACACAGAGCATAACACCACAGGTCCACAGAAGAAAAAACACAGAACACAGGGGGGGTCCAGAACACGAACACCCCACACGCCACAGACGCTACACCAAAAGGCCCCCGCTGGGGGGCGCTGGAAAACCCCCACCCCCGCCCCGGCACCGGAACCCGATGCTAAGGCAACACCCAACCCAGCGTCTGATGCCAGGACTCAACTCATTGCCCCACATAAAACAACGGAGGAAAAAAAAAGAATATAATAAAAAACATAAAACAACATAATAATTATCACCGCTGCAACAAAAAAAAAAAAAATGAATAACAGAACAACACGACCAACAAGGGACTACGCCGCAACAATCACCACCAGAAGATGCGACGACGTGAGAACAGCCGTAGACAGACAGACAGACACAGTTCCACACGCCACCCTCCTTTAACCGTCCTCCCCAGTCACCCGCACACGTGTGCCCTTGCGTGACAGCATCTTGCGTCTCCGGGCTTCATTTCAAGTTCACGTCTTCAACACCGGAAAGCCAGTGAGGCGTCCTGGTTCCTGCTTCAACGTGACGTTGTGGGACGCTGGAATCCTTTCAGGAAACTGAGCATCCTACGTCTTCCCACATCTCAACACTTCCCGCACACCAACTCCCCCAGGAGGTCTCTTACTCCAGAGGAGAGCGAGGACGTTCCTGCCGGCTGTTGGAACTGCCCCTGGCGTCCGCGCCGTGCATGGAGGAAGGGACATCATCATTTGCCGGGTCGCCATCTGGCATTCGGAATCACTCACCGTGAACCCGGCTTCACACACGTGTGTCTGAGCACAGAGAGCCTCGTCCCGGCTCGGGTCCTCACGGGGCGGGAAGACACGCCACGCAGCCACGGGGTGAGGAGGCCTCGAGTCAGCCGTCGAGGAGCCCCGCTGAGTGGTGTCGGGGTGGGGGGGGGGTTGGAGCCACAGCCTCAAATTTGTCAGCCAGAGGGAAGGACCAGGGCCCCCGGGACGCTCAGAGCCGTGTCCGGAAACACGCTTCTCCCCGGCCTCGGGAAGAGGGAGCCACGGGGCAGGAGTCGTGGCACAGAGATCATTATGCGGTCTGAAAACGGGCAGACTCTGAATTCTTGGACCGTGGAAAACACGCACACGGAAGAAAACCGCAGGCCCTACCATCCCGTGACACGGAGTTAGCAAGGGCCGACTCACTCAGTCACAGCCTCGGGGAGCAGCCACGGGGAATGCGGATTCTGTCCCGTGAGCATCATTGAGACCACGGGCTTCCCGTGCCCCCTCCATGCCCACACCTGGTCCTCCAGAGGTCCCTCGGCCTGCGGTCCTCTACACAGTCCTCTGCACAGTCTGACCCTTAGAATATGTGCATACTCTGTTAAGGGGCTCTCCCCAGCCCCGGGAGCGGCTGTCACTCTGTCACCCGTCGATGCCCGGCCCGCACACACAGCCATCGGCTCAGCCTGGGACGGATGGGCGGGGAGGGCGTCTGCCGCCTCTTTCCGGCCGAGCCCTGAAATCCCCGGGCCTGCCAGCCCTGGGCGGGACTGTCCCGAGCTCGCTCTGCGCTGGGAACACACCCAGAGCCTCACAGGCGTCACCTCTGCGTGGAGACAGCCGTGCAGGTGGCTGTGATTGTCCCCATGCATGAGCGCAGCCGCCAGGAGGGCTGAGCAGGTCGGCCAGGCCACCTGCGCCCCCAGGTAGGCGTGGGGGGAGGGAACTGCAGCCACCGGCCTCACGGGACGTCCCCAGCCTGTCGCCCTTCAAAGGAAAGAAGGTCTCAGGGACTCAGAGGAACAGTCTGGGCGTGAAAACGAATCCAGAAACCCCGAGGCACAGTGGGAGCAGAAGTTTACCCCCCACTGGGGCGTTTAATGAGTTTCTATGTCACGTAGTTCGATGCCTAGTTTTTTTGTCACCTTTCTGTCTGGGAATGATGGAAATGACAACGGCAGTTGTCAGCAGGTGGGTTTGATGTTATTGTTGCAAAGACACCACCCGACACGGAGCTGCTGGAGCTTTACAAACACGTCTGGAAACGCAGGGCGTGCACGTAACAACACAGCACTGGCACCGATCGTCGTAGGACTGTACATCTTTGGGGAACGCAATTCGACAAAAGGGAAAATGTAAACTCTCCTTTCAGAAAGAAACACAAAGAGTTTTCCATCAACAGACGGTCAAGACGATGAGCTTTTGCTTTTTTGGGGATTCTTTTTCTTCCTCACGTAACTGCGATGCAAATAGTTCCCACAGGAATCAGTAATGCGCTTTTAGTGGCTTCCGAAGTTTTGGAATACAGCACTCCCCGCACCCCCGTAAGTCTGCTGGTTTCTGGAGGGAGAGGCACACGGGGAGAGATCTGGGCCCTGCTGTCTTTACGGATGGGGCAGACTGAACGGCTAGAGGATCAGCCCCGTTCCCGGGGTTGAACGCAGAGGATGTCAGGAGGACGGCTGAGTACCCGAAACACCAGCTCTGCTCCCTCACCTCAGTGGCGCCGGGGACTCCGAAATGCAGAGTCTCGGCGTCTCTGTGGGTGGCGCCTGCACCTGTCACTGCTGCGTTTGTGGTCTTTCCCGTGAGCGGCGAGCATCGCACATTTGAGAAAAGCACAGGCAGGCTGCACTTATTTACGAGGAATCTGGGAGAAAGTCGTGATTTCCCCAGATAGCGCCAGGTCCCCCTGCCAGTCTCTCACCATCCCCCTGCGCCTTCCCCGCCGACCCACCGAGGCTTCCCGAGCCAGCAGGGGGTTCCCTCTCCGTCCCCTCTGTTGCTGTCAACGATTAACCCGCTTCCCGCCTTTCACTTGCACCTGCTTCGGCTGCAGCTGGAGGTTTTAAGCCGCCACGGTGAGCGCAGTAGAGACTTTGAGGAAAAGGGTTCGGACTCTCATGTTTGAGTGGACGGGACCCGCTGGTCTGCGGTCTCTGTGTGCCAGCAGGGAGGCCGGGCGGGAATCGGCGAGAGTGGGTGATGCAGAGAGAATGAGCGATCAGACGCTCGAACTCGGAATTTCTCCTGTTCAACCTCCTTTTCCAACGGCCGATGAACTGAAACCCCGAGAGTCTGGGGAGCGTGACGTCAGCATGGGCAGCTAAGCGCGCTGGGCAGGCGAGGCCTCTCGGGATACCAGAGAAATGACCTGGGACTTCCCTCCAGCGTGGAGCCGGGGGCCACGTGATGGGACGTCACTTTCCCGTGACCATCTGGGGACACCCTCCCGGACCAGGGAGACACAGACGAGCAGGTCCTGGCGGTGGCCGCCCTCACAGGCAGGGTTCCATGCACACAGGTGACCCGTGGCACCGGGCCCTGTGCAGGGATGTCTGAGGGAGCCGGGGTCCAGCAGGGCAGGATTGGGGGTGCCTGGCGGTGTCCCTGGTGCCTGGCCCAGCGCCCAGCCACGGAGGACAGTTGCCTGAGCTGTAGGAAAAGCGCCTGGACTTCCCAGCATCCTGCTTTGACTGGGGGGGGGGCTTGGTGTCCACGTCCTGCAGGGCAGAGACCGGGGGACAGGCGGGAGGGCGGCTGCAGCCCCCCGACCAGGGCCCCCCGCCCGTCCTCATTGCCCCAAGTGACAGGTGAGCGAGGAAAGACCGTTTCCTGAAAGAGCCTGTCTTCAGAAGACTGGAAAGAGACCCCACATTTTATGATGTCGTTGTACAATGGAATCTGAACACGCTGCGCATTCATTGTCCACCACTGTTTACACGCACTATGCTCGTTCAATCTAGAGTGGTCTTAGGTCTCTATTTTTAATTTTTCTGTATTCATCAAGGTTCTGGGAATCACGTACACACACTGAAGACAATTCTTGACAAATAACCCTACTTTTCTGTGCCGTTGGATTTGTGGTTATCTTACCGTCTGAATTCACTTCTCTTCTCACCGTTGCAGAGGCAAGACTAGGGCACCTGCTCGCGCCTCCCCGCCCAGCTCTCCCTGCTCGGTAACGTGCGGGAACCGTCTGCCGGTGTGACGCATATTCGTTGGACACCTGCCAATCTCAAGACGCAGAGGAGAGGCGAGGGCGTCACAGGCACGGGAAGCCACTCCCTGCAGGGACTGGGGGACGCTCACGCAGGGTGGCATCGGAGCAGAGCCCTGACGGCGGGTCGGAGCTGAACCTGCCAGGTGGGCTGAGACGACCAGGGAAGGGTTGTTTGGGGGAGACTCGGTCACGAGCGGAGGCAAGACGAGGGCAGCCTCGAGCACCCCCGGCGACAAGTCAGAGAGACACGGGTGGTCGCAGGGTGGTGGGTTCTGTGGGCTGGTGGAGTGGGCAGAGGCTGGAGGGTGTGGTCCCCTCCCCCACCCCTCGGAGAACAAGGTGACGGCGCAGAAAGGGAGGCTGGGTGCCGCCCAGAAAGCACAGGGGAGCCAGCGCTGTGAGCACCGGCCCGTGCTCCGGGCTGGAGGCTAGGAAATGCTCCCACCTGGGACTTGCGAGGTGGGGGTTGCCCAGCCCCGACACCCCAAGCTGGGTGCAGGAGAGACTTGGTCCCTCACGAGCATGGGTGGGTCACTTCCCGGCCCTCTGAGCCCCACGTGTGTCACAGCCGATGCTTGGACCCCAAGGGGAGACTGCGTCTCCATGGCTACGGCCGCGTCCCGATAAGCAGCCTGCACTGGCAGTTCCACCCCTGCCAACCGCCTGGCACAGAGACCACCAACCCTCTGGGTCCCATCGACACAAACGTGAGAGTCCAAACAACGGGCAGCATCCACACTCGGCTGGAGGAGCCTGCAAGCCAGCCTGCACGTGCACGTAGCCTGCGGCAGGGGGGGGCCCCGGAAAGTTACGGCTGCGTCAGGCTGCACCGGCATCTGGGCAGCAGGTGGAGGAGACACTCTGAGAGTGGCCTGGCCTCGCAGGTGGCAGGCGTGGCCAGGAGGGGTCCAGACGGGGCAGCCCTGGCTTCTTGCAGTTGAGCTGTTATTTTTCGTGATGCCTCCAATTTCAAATGAACAGTTGCGTGTCCAACAGTCAAGTTGGGTTCTGCGGAGTTGCAAGGTAAGAAGCAGCGGCAGGTGGACGACAGGTTTGCCACAGCGGGGGTGGGGTGGCGGTGAGGGAATGGGGGGTGGGAGGGGGACCCCCCAGGGGATGTGAGCAAGCCCCCCCCCCAGCAGAGCTCAGATTCCGGTGGGGACATGGCAATGGAGGTGCCGTTTTTAGCTTAAAAGTTCAACATTCGGCCAGGCGCGGTGGCTCACACCTGTCATCCTAGCGCTCTGGGAGGCCAAGAGGGGAGGATTGCTTGAGCTCAGGAGTTGGAGACCAACTTGAGCAAGAGCAAGACCCGTCTCTACTAAAAATAGAAAGAAATTAGCTGCATAACTAAAAACATAGAAAAAATTAGCCGGGCATGGTGGCGCATGCCTGTACTCCCAGCTACTGGGGAGGCTGAGGCAGGAGGATTGCTTGAGCCCAGGAGATGGAGGTTGCTGTGAGCTAGGCTGACGCCACGGCACTCACTCTAGCCTGGGCAACAGAGGGAGACTCTGTCTCAGAAAAAAAAAAGTTCAACTTTTAATTTCTGCCCTTAGGGAGGGTGCAACTGAAGAACAGATTTTTTTTCCCTACAGATGACCTTTTTGTCTGAGAAACCTGCGTAAGAATCTGCATTCTTAGCAAGGGAATATTTCCCTGTGATCATTTAATGCTCAGATGCCTGACGCCCCGGAGGTGCAGGGTACTTGCCCCACTTCCCTGTTTAAAGCCTAAAGGAAGAGACGGAAAGGCTGACACGTGGCCGAATAGCTCTTAGGTCAATGCTTGGAGACACAATAATCTATACAAGCGGCGTCACTACCAGCCTGGGCTCAAGGACAGGACACCGCGTGTCGGGGCAGCAGGGGGGACAGAGGGACTTACCAGCGGCAGATGGCCGCCCAGGACAGACCCGCCACGCCGCCGACCAGCAGGGCGCCCAGCGCGATGGACACCCAGGACGCCCGCGGGAGCCGCCCGGAGTCTGGGGCACAGAGGAGACCTGGTTAGCGGAACCTGGGGGGGGGGCTCGCCTCACCTGACTCGGGGACACACCTGCACTGCCCCGTGTGGGTCTACTGAGTGGCTGTGTGACCCCGAGCAAGTCGCTCCACCTCTCTGTTCTCCAGGGTCCTGTGCTGTAGAGTGTGGATTGAAGCAGCGCCTCCCCAGGGAGCCCGCGCACCCTGGGAGTCACAGGTGGATGTTTGCGCCCTGCCCAGCGCGCGGCGGGCCCGGCCACACCATGGGGAGGGTGGGAGCGTTCAGTCCTGAGCAGAGAGCCCAGCGGGGACAGAGGATGGGAGGGGCTGTCCCGGGGAGCTAGGTGCGCGCCGTGGGGACCCCACCTGGGGCCCTGTCCTGCTGGTTCCCATCAGGGGGCCCCTGGGAGGGCGCATCTCCGCCTGGAGCGCCCTGGGCCTGCGCGTCTTGGGCCAGTCTCCTCCCTCCCCAGTCTGGTCCCTGATGGGGGCCACCCGCAGCGCACTTGGTCCCTTGCACCCAATCCGCGGTGGGCGCCGGGGGGGCGGGGCCTCACCTACGCAGGTCCTGCCGTCGTCGCCCAGCACGTGCGGGTCGGAGCAGACGCACTGGAAGCCGCCCCTGGTGTTCCGGCACCGCGCGGAGGCGTGGCAGGGGGCGCGCGCGGGGTCCGCGCACTCGTCCACATCTGCGCGACAAGGCGGCGCGGTGAGCCGGGCTGGATGCCCACAACCCGCCTGTGCCGGGAGCCCCCTGGCCTGGGCGCTGCTGCCGAGGCCCTTCCCCCGCGCTCCTGGACTCCAGCGATGACCTCCCCTGCCCCACCCGGTCCTCCCAGCCTGGGCCTGCGTCCCCAGATCCCACACCTGGCTACCTAGCTAGTGCACATCTGCACAGGTGTTTCCGTGTCTCTGAGCAAGTCTGTGTTGACTGCAAACCTCACTTTCCACAATAGACAGGAAACATTTGCTCACATTCATTTAATAACGCGTAACCTCCGGGCAGTAGCTGCTGTAAAAGGCCACAGACTCCAGCATTTTACCTGGCATGTTTACTGAAGATAAGACCTACACATAAGATAAGCCCTAGCAGGATTTCTAATCATTTGCGCAACATAAGCCCTGCCCCGAAAATAAGCCCTGGTGACGGGCGTGGCTACGTAGCGCATCTGCACAACCCATGCATTTTGTCACGGATTGGTAAAGAAGACGAGCAGCCCTTCTCATCTGCCCCATGAGAGCTCTATGGCCTGACATGAGAGACTGGGGCCAATGGTTCTAAAAGAAATAGAGTCGCAAGAAATTCAGGATGGAATTCAGGGTTTGGAGAGTTATGATGATGTTCCAGAAGAAGACGACTTCACTCTATTTGAGTAAATGTAGATTACTGTACTGTCCTTAAAAAAAGATAACACATCCCCTGAAAATAAGCCCTAGGGTGGCTTCTTGAGAAAAAATAAATATAAGACCCTGTCTTATTGTCGGGAAAACACGGTACTTGGAATTCGCAACTTCAAAGCTCTCAGATGAGACTGACTCCAATTCATTTGCTGGCTTTGTTTAAATCAGGTTTTTATGTGATGGATTTTAGGGGATAAGCAGGATTTAAACAGAGAAAACGGCTGCAAATCTCATTTGACTTTTGCATTAAAAATTTTATTAGGTCCACCGCTTCCTCTCTGATGCTGTGGACAGGTTGACATGTGCATTTCGTTGAGGGTCCGCCTGAACCCGCATGTTCCTATCGGCTTACCACAGAAGTGAGGTTTCCCCTGACCGGATACTTGGGTCTATTTTTTTTTTCTTGCGGTTCTTGATTTAGAAGCTTCTAGTGCAGGGAGCAGACGTGGCAACAATGTCTGTGTACGTACACGAGTGCATTTATCCCAGGGCTTTTCCTCACTGAGCTTTGTGTCATTTGTTTCCTTTTAAGATATTATATTTTAACCACAGATGTAATAAGCTGAAAACCAGAGAGCCCTACAGACGAAACACTGGTAATCTCACTCCCTCTGCCCGACCCACTCTGCCATGGCAGCGACTGTGCACGGCCGGGCTCTCTGGCTCGTGACGACACTTATAATACTAACATGACACATCTAAATACATCCCACGGCTTTAAAAAAAAATCTAAATGACTCTCAATATCCTCAATACTCCGTCACCTGCATTTTTACTGAGTGGCAGGTCACACGGACAGTCTCCAGGTCAGGGACAAACGTCTACGCAGCGGGGCAGTTCCCGGCGTGGATTCCCAGCTTTGGCCGCGGCTCTCGAGCCCTTACTGTGCCGACCACCGGTCTGTGCCTTGTTCTTTGTGCTATGCATCAATTAACTAAATTAACTTAAGTGCAAGCACCAACGAGCGACACCGCATCCCCATCCTCAGTTTACATTCGGAAACATGGAGGCGTGCAGAGCCGAGCAGTCGGGGCAACAGACTGAGGAGCTACTGAGCAGGCCCAGACACGGGGGCAGGAAGTGTGGACCTGAGTCCTCTAGCGGTGGAGACAGGCACAGAGTTACTCTGGGACAAAGGGGCGTCCCGCACCTTGAGGCCCGCTCCCTGGCGGGGTCTCGGGGCGAGTGCCGGTCCCAGCTCTGGGCTGGGGGGGGGGCAGAGGAGCCCCAGGTCCAACAGGCTCTGGGAGACGCCGCTCCTGCCGTCCGCTGAGCCCACCTGGGCGCCCGCTCTGGGCCTGGGCCCTGGTGCCCAGGTTAGAAATAGTCCTTAGTGTGGCTGATCTTGGCCTTATGGAAATGCTGGTTTGGGAATGAAAAACCAAGGGAGGGAAAGACGGAGAGAGGATGTTGGCTAAAAAAACTTCAGGAACAGGAGACCGATTGGGATGACAGCTGTACAGCTGAGAAGGTCGGAAGGACACGCCGCGTTATAAGGGCCGAGCGTGGCCGCCACAGGACACGCCGGTCTGCACGGGCGGACTGCAGGACACTCGGGTCCCCTATGATGCTCCCCTGTCACTCGTACCCTGGGGAGCCTCGTGCTCGGAGCCTGGGGGAGTGAGCTCCCCAAACCAGCAGCTACATGTAGGCAGAAGGATGCAGGTGTGCAAGTGACGTGCACAGCCCAGGGAGGCCCGTGAGACATAACATGTGCTATGTGCTGAACCCGGAGCTCAGGCCGGCTTTCTCGACTGCAGCCACATGGGAAACCGGGAACCGCGGGTGACGCAGGCCCCGAGCCAGCGACAGGAAACACCTCCACGTCGTAGAACTCTTGCTGCTGATGGACCAGCTCCCCAGCGGGACAGGCTGAACTCTTGCTGCTGATGGACCAGCTCCCCAGCGGGACAGGCTGGGGTAGCAGACATTGCTGTGGGTGGATCAATATCAGCTACGGACAACGGCCGGGCTCCTGGCATGTGAGGCTTCCGGAAAGTTCTCTGGGAGAAGCGTGCTTGTCCCTTGTTCTCTGGGGCGTTGTCTGACTCTGTTCCTTGTCCGTTGTCATTCATGACCAGACCCCAAACACAGCTGGAGCACAAACTAAAGGAGTTCGACTTTGTTTTGGTTTCTGCTGGCAAACCAGCCGCAATCCTGCACGAGTTCATCTCTCTCCAGACACGTCACCGCTGCCCCTGGTCCCGTCGGCCCCGCCAGGCCCCGAGTCTGACGCCCCCCCCCTCCTGCAGCCACCCTGGGAGGGACCGGCCGGCCTCCGAGTGACCGCTGCTGAGCGCTGGCCCGGAAGGTTCCTCCACCACCCCCGCCCAGGCGTTTCAGGTTCTGTCCTGGGCATTTTTGAACTCGACAGGGGACAGGGGCCGCCTGACACTGGGATCTCCCCTCTGGGGGTCTCACCCTATTTCATGGTGCGGCCCGGTGGGGCCCAGGACTGGGCTCTGCCCTCGAGGCCCAGCTGCGGGACACGCGTGGCCCCCAGGCGGCTGGGTGGCACCCTGGAGGGCGGGGCTCAGGGGGCGTCTCCTACTGTGCCCTGAGAGTGGCCTCCCCTTCTTCCCTGTCCCCCGAGCGTGAGGAAGGTCGGGAGAGGAGCCCAAGGGCCTGAGGACGCTGCGGTCACGGGCTTGGAAGTCACCTGCCCGGTGGCAGATGTGGCCTTGCACTGTGGGTTCCTGGCATGGAAACGTCTGTCGTGTTTCGTGTGAGGAATTTGCTCCGTGAGCTCGTTCTCTGGCCTCGCCTGGCCTGCGCCCTGTGGGCCGTGACTGGTGCGACTCTCGACACATCCGTCATCTAGACAGGTGCTCACCTGGGCCGTGGCCCGCCACGCAGACAGCCCCTCACCGCCCCGGAGCACCTGGGCAGGTGACCAGCTCAGAGGCACTTTGGCAACATCCATGCTTCATTTACGTCCGAAACACGCAGGCTTTCCGTGTTCGACACCGGAACCACCCCTGCCGACCGACTCACCTGCGCAGACGGGGGGCGGGGAGTCCCAGCCCTGCCCGGTGCACGCGAGCTGCTCTCGGCCGTGGAGCTCGAACCCGTGGCGGCAGGAGTAGACCAGCACGCGCCGCCCAGACTCCGCACACGCCACGAAGTCCCCGTGGTCCACCTTTCCCGGGAGGCCACACGTGTCATCTGTTTCAACGTGGAAAGGACAGCACGCAGTCGGACCACAAGGAAGGAAACTGCGCAGTGGGCGTGGCCAAACTGGGTCCCCAGAGGTCACGTTTCCTGCCCGACCCACTGGACCTGGACTGGCTGTGTGTGGGGGCACAGCCGTGGAAGGTGGGGCTCACAGGCGTGTGTCTCCCTGTGCCAGAGGGAGAGCGTGTGAAGGCGTGTGTGTGTACCTGTGTGTAGCGTGTCTGTGCATACATGTGTGTTTGTGTATACGTGTGGTATGTGTATGTGGGTGTGTATATGTGGGTGTGTGTATGTGTATACATACATGTATAGTGTTTGCATACATATGTGTGCTATATGTGCTGTCTGTGTAGTGTGCATGTGTATCTCTGTGTATGTGTGTGGTGTGTGCTATGAATGTCTCTGTACATGGGTATCTGTGTATGTGCGTAGTGTGTCTGTTTATATGTGTTTGTGTGTGCTGTGTGGCTGTGTGTACGTGTGTGCTGTGTCTGTGTATACATGTGTGTCCGTGTGAGTGTATGTGTTAGTTTATCAGTACCTGTAAGTGGCCCCAGCCTCTGGCAAAGCGCTTCCCATAGGGAGGACCATGACTAGCTCTTCGGCTCCCGCGTGCAACCCGGTCTCACATGCACAGAGCTGGCGCTTGCGTGATAAGAGAGTGTTTCACCTCCATTGGGATTTGTGAGGTGTAATTTGATCCGCACAGAACTAAAGCCAGAACATCTGCTTTGTTAACCTAAATCCCAAATAACCTGCAAGTTTTTGGTAAGCCCCACGTCTTCCCAGAAGACGTCCTGTCTGCTGTTAAAAGTGCGTAATCTCGCCCGCCGCCTCCCCACGGTGACGGTGCCCAGGGCCGTGGGCAGGTCTGTGTCCGTCTGTGGCGGCCACGGCTCGGCAGGTGACCCGGACCTGGCTGGGGGGGCTGGGGAGCCGATGGACCCCCCCCCACAGCACAGACCCGCAGCCGAGGACCCGGCCTGGAGGGCTGGTGCCCCGCTGGGCTGTGCTCGCCCCCAGACACCTGCACGCGGGTCCTCTCCTCGGGGTGGGGCCGGGCTGAGTGATGCCTCCCGACCCCCGTCCCTCCTCCCTCCAGCAGGACGCGGCGGCTCCCAGCCCCATGGACACGAGGCAGGGCAGGGTGCGGTTGCTGGGCAGCGCAGACTCGAACCCGGCTTCCAGCAGAACGTGCGCCCTCCTGTGACCCTTGCCCGCTGCACTGCCGTGTAGACGCGGCGCAAACTCACCTTGAGGAAACGCCTCCCTCCACGGCTCCAGGCTCAGGCCGGGGACGTCCTCGCAGGACACAAAGTCCTCGGGGGACCTCCCGACACGGAAGGCGTCGGCGGGCACCCTGGCGAGGCCCGTGTTGTCGCAGATGACGCGGGACAGCGAGTGCTTGCCCAGCTCGCGCCGCTGCGCGTCCGAGAAGACGGGGCCGTTCTCCCACCAGAACCTCCAGGGAGAGAGAGACGGAGGGGGCTGAGTGCGTGGGGTCGTTAAAAATGAAAAGAAAGCGTCTCCCATTGTTTTTGTCCGTATGCGTCCCCACTCCCAGCTCACCGCGTGCCTGGGCTTCCACCGCACACGTGGGCAGCCCAGACACGGGGCAGGCGGGGGAGGTGGGACCCCGGGGGCGTCTGTCCCGGAGCCCCAGGTGGGGGTCGGTCTCCACCCGGACGCGGTCAGAGAAGGTCAGGAAGCGCAGCTTGCTTCGTTAGCCGCCTGCTTACTCGTGCACCTGGACGTGTGGAAATGGAAAATTCAGCAGTGATCCCAGCACTCTGAGAGGCCGAGGCAGGAAAATCGTTTGAGCTCAGGAGTTCGAGACCAGCCTGGGCAACAGTGAGGCCCCATCTCTACTAAAAATAGAAAAATTAGCCGGACATGGTGGCACATACCTGTAGTCCCAGCTACTTGGGTTAAGTGCTGAGGCTGTGCCCTGTGCCTGTGTCCACCAACATCTTTTTTCTTTTTGAGACAGAGTCTTGCTCTGTTGCCTGGGCTAGAGTGCCGTGGCATCAGCCTAGCTCACAGCAACCTCAACCTCCTGGGCTCAAGAGATCCTCCTGCCTCAGTCTCCCAAGTAGCTGGGAGTACAGACATGCGCCACCATGCTGGCTAGTTTTTTCTATATATATTTTTAGTTAGCCAATTAATGTCTTTCTATTTTTAGAAGAGACAGGGTCTCTCGCTCTTGCTCAGACTGGTTTCCAACTCCTGACCTCGAGTGATCCTCCCACCTCGGCCTCCCGAGTAGCTGGGACTACAGGTATATGCCACTATGTCTGGCTAATTTTCCCATTTTTACTAGAGATGGGGTCTCACTGTTGCCCAGGCTGGTCTCGAACTCCTGAGCTCAAATGATCCTCCCGCCTCAGCCTCTCAGAGTGCTAGGATTACAGGTGTGAGCCGCCACACCCGCCTGTGTTCACCAACCTTTGTAACAGCAGCTTCACGGCCAAGGACCCTGGCTGGCGGAGCCTCCCGCCTGGGTCACCTGAACATCACACCTGGCAGCTGGAATCTGTACTCCGGGAGGCCAAGGCAGGAGGATTGTTTGAGCTCAGGAGTTCGAGACCAGCCTGAGCATGGTGGCGCATGCCTTTAGTCTCAGCTACTCGGGAAGCTGAGGCAGGAGGATCTCTTGAGCCCAGGAGGTTGAGGTTGCTGTGAGCTAGGCTGATGCCACGGCACTCTAGCCCAGGCAACAGAGCAAGACTCTGTCTCAAAAAGAAAAAAGATGTTGGTGGACACAGGCACAGGGCACAGCCTCAGCACTTAACCCAAGTAGCTGGGACTACAGGTATGTGCCACCATGTCCGGCTAATTTTTCTATTTTTAGTAGAGATGGGGTCTCACTGTTGCCCAGGCTGGTCTCGAACTCCTGGGCTCAAACGATCCTCCCTCCTCGGCCTCTCAGAGTGCTGGGATCACTGCTGAATTTTCCATTTCCACACGTCCAGGTGCACGAGTAAGCAGGCGGCTAACGAAGCAAGCTGCGCTTCCCGACCTTCTCTGACAGCGTCCGGGTAGAGACTGACCCACACCTGGGGCTCCGGGACAGACGCCCCCCAGGCCCCGCCTGCCCCGTGTCTGGCACTGCCCAGGTGTGCGGTGGAAGCCCAGAGCCGGCCGCTCTGAGCAAACCCGGGTGCACGGCCACCCCGCGTGGGAAACGGCAGAGACCCGGCCCCCGTGCCCACCTGTCGCCGTCCCTCAGGGCCCTCATCTGCTTCCCGATGAGGCAGGCGAACAGCGGGCCCGTGCGGGCCCCCGGGAGGAGGTCTTCCGCCAGGCCGCCCAGCCAGACGTCCACGTTGTCCGGGTGCTTGTACAGGGCCGCCATCTTGTCCGCCACGCTCCGGTCGGCCACGGCCTCGCGCAGGTGGGCGGGGGTCTCCAGCCGGGGCAGCCCGCAGAACCGCCGCCACGCGTTGTACCCTGCGGGACGGGGGGCCGGGCCTGCGTTCCCCGAGGTCTGGGGTGCGGGCGGCCCCCCACGCCCGTGCCGCCCACCCAAAGCCGCACGCGCAGCGCTAGGGCCCTGCCTATCCCCGGCCGCGGGGAAACCTCTGCACTGCCCTGTGCCCGTGGCCTTCACCAGGTAGAACGTTCCGGCAAGACCTCAGGGCCCTTGCAGAGGGGCTTGTTCCCAAACGTGCTGGGAGAGAGGCCAGGCTGCCGCGTCCGGGAGACAGCTGCGTTATCACCTCGCCTGGGCGCAAGTCTGGCCCGCAGAGCCGCCGGCCCGTCCCCACCCTGGGAGCCTCTGCTCCCTGAGGACAGCAGGACACAGAGGTGGCCAGGGCGGCCAGCTCCTCGCTCTCCTCTCCAGGGAGCGGGACCCGAGCGCCTGTCTGGGCCAGCCACTCTGCGCTGGGGCCCCTGCGTCAGCCGCTGCCCGGCGGGGGCTCTCCTCGCAGGCCGGCAGAGCCCTGCTCCACCCCCAGGGCCCGGCGTCCCTTAGTGCCCAACCTGGCCTCTCCCTCCCCAGGTCTCCCACCCTCCGTCTGTCACCCCACCGCTCTGCTGCGGTTAGGGGTGCCTCGTCCAGGCCGGTGACCTGGGCTTCTGACTCTGCCCCCTGGTGCATCCGCCCTGAGGCTACTGGGAGCACTCGCCGGGTTCTTTATGTGCGGGTGTGAGGCCCCCGGGGCGAGGGACGGAGGTGTCAGGGCGAGGGGCTGTTGGCATCACTCACGCCAGGGGCCAGGCTGGACCACGGAGCTGGCAGCACAATGACCTCTGGGCCCGGGACACAGGGCTGAGGCCGAGAAGGAGGGGGACATGCTACCCACCCCCGGAGCTCCCCGGACACGAGACAGACCCGTCCCTGTCTGCCCAGAGGGTCCCGCTCCCTCTCCCGGGACTGGCTGTCTCTCGGGCGTCTTTCTGCCACTGTGTCCTCCAAGGGAAGCTGGGGCGGCCGTTCAGCTGCGTGAGCCACGGAGCTCTGGAAGCCCCTTTGCTCACAAGCGGGCGGTGGGTTTGAGACGCGTCTCGCTTTAGATCAGTCCCCGAACAGACAGACGCCCAGCGGACGGAGCGGCGCAGGGGAGGGGCCCCCAGACCTGGCAGGCCGTGGTCACGGCCCCTCTGCAGGTTGAGGGACGCCAAGTCCAGGGTGCTGGAGTTCGGCAGCACAAAGAGCCGCTCGGTGAGCTCCTGGTTCATCAGCTGGGCCGGCACCTGCAGCTTGGCCGGGCTCGCGAGCAGGCCCCTCAGCAGCGGGTCCAGGCCACCTGCAAGACGCCAGGAGGGGCAAGGGGCTTCCACCCGGCTCCAGAGAGGCAGGAGTGCGTTCATCCTGAGCAAACGTCTTTGTGCACGTTTGTGAATTCGCCCCATGGGATCCCGCAGTTTCCAGAACATCCTCGTTGCCGGTGCTGGTGGATCAGCCGCCCAGCTGGCACCAGCTGGTGGCTCCTGGGGGACGGACCCCAGAACCCATAAGACCCTGGAGAGGGGCCCGGGAGACGCTCGAGGGTCTCGCCTTGCTTTTCAGCAGCAGAAACGCTACAGCCAGGGGAGGCCTTGGTGGAGGTCTAAGGTCCGGAACAGTAAAGGGAGAGACTCGGCTTGGGGGTTCAGGGCGCCTGGGGACCCCGTCCCACCAGCTCCCAAGGCCCTCATGGGAGACGGATCAATTGGCCATGGGGTCTGTCCCCCCGATGGCGTGTGGACCCTCAGTCGTGGGCAATATCGGCTCAGCTCGGCCCCAGGGCCGCCCGGCGCCATGTGGACAGCCCGGCGTGGGGCCCGGTGAGGCCGGGCTGAGCCCCGCCTGACCCATCTGACAAGCTCACGTCAGAGCGTCTGTCTGGACGGGTCACAGAGCGCCCTGCCAGCCACCGTCCCCCCACTTGCCGCGCCACACGCACGCGGAGCCAATCAGCTTTTGAGACGGGTGAGAAGCTTCCGGACAGACACACAGAACCGGGAACAGGAACAAGAGGAAAGGACCAGGGAGGCCTAAGAACAACCCTTCTGGAAAACGCACCAGGGAATTGCAACGTTTTCTTCCCAAGGACTCACTTCCATAGGTAACCTGATCACTAACACTCCAACGCTGATGGCGAGGGCCACAACCATGGAACAAACAGGATGCCTGAAGACACAGGCCACGGCAGGACTTGTCAGGGGGAGGAGGAAGCACCTGGGCAGCTCTCAGGTGAGACCAGTCAGGGAAGGAGGAGGCACCTGGGCAGCTCCCAGGTGAGACCAGTCAGGGAAGGAGGAGGCACCTGGGCAGCTCCCCAGGTATGCTGTCAGGGGAGAGGGGCACCTGGGCAGCTCCCAGGTGAGACCAGTCAGGGGAAGGAGGAGCACCTGGGCAGCTCCCAGGGAGAACAGTCAGGGGAGGGAGGCACCTGGGCAGCTCCCAGGTGAGACCAGTCAGGGAGGAGGAGCACCTGGCAGCTCCCAGGTGAGACCAGTCAGGGGGAGGGAAGCACCTGGAGTCCCAGGTGAAGGACAGTCAGGGAGGAGGAGCACCTGGGCAGCTCCCAGGTGAGACCAGTCAGGGAAGGAGGAAGCACCTGGGCAGCTCCCAGGTGAGACCAGTCAGGGGAAGGAGGAGGCACCTGGGCAGCTCCCAGGTGTGACTAGTCAGGGAAGGAGGAGGCACCTGGGCAGCTCCCAGGTGAGACCAGTCAGGGGAAGGAGGAGGCACCTGGGCAGCTCCCAGGTGAGACCAGTCAGAGAAGGAGGAGGCACCTGGGCAGCTCCCAGGTGAGACCCGTCAGGGAAGGAGGAAGCACCTGGGCAGCTCTCTGGGGAGACGAGTCACAGGAAGGAGGCAGGAAGGGTTCTGACCCGACCTGGGGCGCAGGTGCTCACCTCCGTGGATGAGTATCCAGGGGTTGAAGAAGACATCTCGCAGGTGCAGGCTGGGCAGGTCGGGGTGCTCCTGGAAGTTGGCGTCCAGCCGCCGCAGCCATGGGCGGACCGTGGCGTGGCCGAAGCGGAAGGCGGCCGTGGAGAACACATTGGACGCGGTGGGGTTCACGCCGGGGTCGTAGCCGCCGTAGGGCCCCACGTGCCGCTCGAAGGCCTCGGGGCCCAGGATCTTGGGGACGTAGTCCCGCAGGGTGACGATCTGTGCGGGAAGGGGGACAGGTGAGCGTTGGCAGGGACGGACTGTAGGCGAAGCCCAGGACCAGGGTCGAGTCAGCCACAGAGAAGAAGGGACGTCCCTGGGCTGAAGTCGTGTCACCAAGGGGTCACAGGAAGGGGCACGCCACCAAGCTAGGGGGACAGGCCATCACGTCTGCAGGTGCAGGACGCCAGCCGGTCCCGGTGAGCCCGGAGCTCCCAGCATTTATGGGGCTTGAAGCAGGGTGTCAGAGACGTCCCCAAACAGTCTCCAAGGGGGGTGGGCAGGGCAGGGCGCTCGCTCCACATCAGAAACCTAGAACATTCCATCACAGACTGTCTTCCCCCTTCACCTCCCACCACCTGGGAGCAATCCACCGACACCTAAACGCAAAACTTCGATAAGAAATCTGGGCACAGCGAGGAATCCCGGGCCCCGGAGTGAGCCCAGCTTGAACTCTAACCCTGCCCCCGCATTTCTTGGCTGTGTGACGAAGGGTCTCCTGAGCCCGTTTCCTTATGTGGCTTCACAGGGTTTTTGCAGAACCAAAGACACGCACAGTGTTAGTACATAGTCTATCATGTAGTATCAGATACAGGCGCAGCACAGAGTAAATACACGCGGTACAGCAACACGCAGGAGCAGTCGAGAGCTGAGAGATGCCTCCGTGACTGGCCGTGACGTGACATGACACACTCGGGCACCGTGTGGCCAGTTTGGGATCTGTGAATGGCGTTTTCTTGCCCTGCAGTGAAGGCCTCAAATCGAATGCCTAGAAAATGTTTTTCGTTCGTTGGTTTCCCGTGGATGCTGAGGAGGTGCGTTCACCAGGCACAGTCCTGTCCCCAGGACGGGGACCGCTGGTGGCCGAGGCAGAGTGTCAGCAGGACACCTGGGTCTCCCCGGCGCTTGCCTGGCCCAGGTGGCGGCCGCATTCCTGGCTGGGCGACCTGCAGCTGAGAGCAGCTTCCTCTCGGCATTGCCGCAAAGTGACGGCGCTACTTGATTCCAAGCGCTTTTGCGGGGAGCAAATCAAAGCGCGTTGTCCGGCGTGGCACTCTGTCACTGGGCTATCACTGCGCAGCCACCGGGTCTTCAAATTACCCTTCCACGCACGGTCTGGGGAGAACTGTGTGCGAGCATTCTGCTTTTAGATTTAACAGTGCTTATCTCAGCCAGAAAAGTCAGTGTGAAGTTGCTTTGGTGTTTATGGAGAGTATTTCGGTCACTATGCCCCGAAGGAGGTGTGGCGGGAGGGATTCTATCCGGAAACTCGAGTCTTACGTGGGCTGTCAGAGCAGGAGGGCAAGCAGGTTGTGTAAAAATAACAAACGTCGTTTATATACTGGTCACACGTGCCTTCCAAATGATAAAATGCATTTGCTAGGCACATAACTGGGGACTTCCGGGGGGACAAAGGTGGCCTGAGTTTTTGTTTTCTGGCTTCTGCCTCCGGCTGAGGGACCCAGCCTGGCTCTGGGGGTCCGACCTTCACCTCTGAGGCCACATACGGGGAGGGGCAGGCTCCGTCGAGACATCCCCAGCCTGGACACACGGGGGAGGGACAGGCTCCGTCGACATGTCCCCAGCCTGGATACGCGGGAGGGGAAGGCCCGGGCAGGTCAGGAGGTCTTGCCAAAATGAGCATCTGAGTCTGCCTGGCGTCATGACACACCTAGAGCGCTGTGGGCATCCTCAGGCAGAGAGCAGGGTGAGTGGAGTCTGGGCTCTGCGGGACCTCCCGTCGGCAGGGGCAGTCTCCTGGGACAATGCCGGCCCCAGCGCGAGGGCCACCCAGGGCAGACCCCTGCAGAAACACCCGGCACACGTGCTCTGCCCCCACCCCCAGCTGCGGGAGAAGAACCCCGGGAGTATTCTACAAAGGGAGTCAGAGGAGCCCGATCCTCGTGGAGGGTGGTGGACCCAGGGCAGGAGCTGTGCCTCCCGGCGGGGGCTCAGGCCAGGCTCGAGCCTTCCTGCTTCCTGCGGGGTGCGTGAGTCTGCCGGCCCGGCTTCTGCACGTATGGGGGGTGCTACTTCTCTGCTATAAACCCGCCTGCCATTCCCTTTCAATATCTGACGCTTTTCAGGGGGAGAGAGACTCAGATCATTAAGTCGCCAGACCGTGGGAGAGGAGAGAGACCACGTGGGCACCCTGGACCCCCACAGCGGCTGGATCCACACATCAATTACAGCCTGTTATTTTTTTTTAAGGTTTCCAAGGTATTTACAAAAAGCACTACAGAGGACCTACTGACTGAAAAAAGCACAAAAGGAAATCTGAAAGTGAAATGTAAAACCAAGGAGAAAAGAATGTTCACATTTTAAAAAAGCAGAGCACACAGAAAACGGGTCGAGGAGAGTAGATACCAAATGCTTTCCTTACTGATCGATGTTACTGTTATTATTTCACCTACTGAGAAGTAGAGGATGTCATTATATCCAGGCCGGGTGAGATTCTCAGAAACTCACAATTCGCGTGTCTCTAATTTGCAATCACAGGGGTAGTGTAAAACACACCGAACAATTCACACCCCTGAATAATCCCGGAACACCACTGAGAAGAGGTCCATGGAAAGCTGATAACGTCAGCTTCTCTCCTCCTGTGTGAATAGTCTCTGGGAGTGAGGCTGGGCTGGCTGCAGCCGTCACTTGGAGTTCACCCAGGTCCTGCCCTTGTAGGGACATCGGGGCGGGACCCCTGGGATTTCCACTTCACAAACTCAACATGTGTTTACCAAGCACTTCCCTGTTGCCAGGCATACTGAAGGTGCTAGAAGAAAGAATTAAGCAAACAAGGATCTCTGTCCTCATGGAGCTGACAGTCAGGGACGGGGTGCAGAGGAAACTTAACAGAATAAAATTCACAGTAGGTTCGCACCCCTCCCCCAAGTCACTGTGCACTGGGGGGGGGGTGTCAGGAGCCCACACAGGGCACAGCGGGGTGGGGGTGGGGGAACTGTCTGTACAGCCTCTCACTCCTACCTACAACCCACTGAGGCCAGGAAAGTCGGCAACTGTATTTTACGACTGCGAGTAACTTTCTCCAACTTCTCACAATGAATAAACGGCCAACTTGAGCCCCCATTCAGAGCCCTCTGATGCAATATATAAAACAGTGGTAAAATGAAGACAGATTTAAAACAGTCCCTCGGTTTAGCTTGCTAAGTCAGACAGCTCACACAGAATAAGTTCTTCATTTTCTCCGTTGTTTCCAAAATACACACATATCAGAATCACTGGTGCCCACTCGCCAGTGGTGACTGTCGGGATAACTGCTAAATGAGTTAAAATCCGGGAGGCGCTGGGGACGGCACCTGGGAAGCACTGGCCGGACCGCGCTGTGCGGCAGAGCTGCTGCGGCTGCAGCCCGCGTGCTGGATAGCCCCCGCGGGCCGGAGAGGCTGGACGGCGGGGACAAGGGGCCGGGAGGGTCCCCAGGTACCAGGGTCAGCCCTCCCCCTCCCCCCAGGAGGGGCCCAGTGTGCCAAGGCTGACTCTGCGTACCCACAGGGCGCCCGGGGCTTGCCCCCACCCCCGCGCGCGTACCTGGTGCAGGGCGCCCACGACCTTGCGCGCCTCCTGGTAGGCGGTGTCCGCGCTCCAGTGCGCGTTGAGGGCCTTGAGCGCCGCGGCCAGGCGATTATGCTCGCGCAACCACAGCGTGTGCAGCGCCGTCAGGGAGGGGACCTCGCTGGCGCGCCCGTCCCCGGCCAGGAAGCAGGGGGCGCGGGCCGCGCCGGGGGCGCCGGGCTCGGGCGCGCAGGCCGCGGGGCGCGGCGCGAAGGGCAGGTAGGCGCGGCCGCCCGCGTCCCGGTGGCGCGCGTTGACCCTCAGCAGCCCCTCGGCGCTGGTCCAGTTCCGCAGCTGCCTCTCGGCGGCGGGGGAGCTGCCATACACCGTGGAGGCGTCGAGGAAGGACGTCAGCCCGTTCATCTGCTGCCGCGGGTTCGCCCTGGACAGGTTGCCCAGGAGCCAGCCTTGGTCCCCGGTGCCGCAGGCGGGGGACGAGCGGTAAAACGGCAGGCAGGAGGGGCGCGCCGAAGACGCGTTCTCGGGGAGCTGCCGGAACACGGACATCCGGGTCACCTAGGGCTTGCGCCAGCCCTTCCGTGCAGTCCGCCCGCCCCGCCCTCCTTGACTTCTCTTACCCCCTGGGTGTCCCCTCCTACAAGCCGTTGCCTGCCAGCTCAGACCCTTTCAGACCGACCTCACCTCTTACCCCCTCCACCTGCCCTAGGGGCTTTGGAAGAGCTGACTTCTCCTCTTTCCAACGAACCCCACTTCCTTTAGGAGCGCAGCGGGCAGAGCTGCCCGGTTTGGGGGGCACCACCGCTTACACTGCGGGGGAGCGCGGAGCCCCTGGTCCGGGCCTAGCTCGTCCCTACTATGACAGCTAAATCACAGCCCGTTTCCCCACGTTCCCAGGTTTCCTGTGGCGTCCGACCCGGCTCGGTGAGAAGGAGCTACCCGAAGCGCAGGGCGCACGTGCGTCCGTCCACCACACGCCTGACCTGGGTGAGCCCAGGGTGGGCCCTGCCCTGGGCTGGCGCTGGCCCTTCCTGTGGGCACCGGTGTCCCCCCTATCGCTGTGCGTTTGAGATTTAGGGAGGTGAAGCAGCTTGCCCCAGGTCATGGTGGTTGGACGGACTCCAGACAAAAGGCTCTTGCTTGCTGAACATCACGGCCCTCTCATATGTATTAAGCATGATGACAGGAAAACATTTCTCCGTGAGCAAGGCACAGGGTGGACACTGAGACCAATGAGGCAGAGCAGGTGCCGGGGACAAGTGCGTGGCCACCAGCGGGGTGGGCCAGCCACGACTCCCGGCATCGGACTCTCTGCAGTGCCCCCGTGGGTGAGAGAGGCAGAGCTGTAGGTGGGCCCGTCCACCCTGGTGCAATGGAGGGAGCTCCGGGGGAGGCAGGGCTCCTTCGGGAAGCATCGGAGCAGGAGCCCTCAGCACCCCACCTGTGCTGTCTTTCTTTTTCTGGTAAGAGTGAGCATGCGTGCAGTATCAATGCAGAGAAATTCTGCAGCATCTATCAAAGTTGCTTGTGCACCTCTTCTGTCATTTAGCCACCTTGCCCTTCCTACGTTAGGCGTGCACGTGTGCACCAAGATTTCTGCTCGAATATGTTCTCTGCTTCCTCACCCGTGGCAGAGTAAGGACAGCAACAGGGCTGAAAACCACTTACGTGCTCATGAGTGAGGGAAGTGGTTAAATTACAAGGTACACACATATGGAAAATTGGGGAGTCAGAAATCAGTCCAAGTTTTCCCATGTGATTATATAGAGAGAAGTATAACAATTATTGCTAAGTGGCCCTTACCGGGCACAGAGCGTGCTCATGGTATGACACAATAGGTGTGAAAAAGAGCATGTGCACACACGTATGTATATGTTGTATACACGCATGACAGTTACCTGCTAGTGGGATGCATAGAAATTCACAACAGCCCTCATCCCCTGGAATAGGACACAAGGAGGGGACTTTGGCGTTTCAGTCTGTGCTTTTCTGACGGACCTTTTACATGGCGTTTGCTAGTCTCACGATGAACATGAAAACATTAAACGACCTACCGGTATAGGGAAGCAGGGGTCCTGGTTCTCACAGGTCAGCTGGCAGTCGGCCCCTCCCGAGAAGGCGGCCCTGCTGGTGCTCTGAGGTGTGAACGCGATGTCGTGACTGATATATTGTCCCCACACCGTCAGCAGGTCGGAATACCGGTCATCCTCCGTGACAGCTTCGTTCGGAACTCGGATGACCTGTCTGGTCACCTCCCGCACCTGGGTGAGAAGAGACCGTCTGCCAGGACGCAGGAAGGCGCCCCCAGGCAGGAAGGTGGCACGCTGCAGGGTCGTGGGTCACAGCCGTGGGTGCTCAGAGATCTATTCCCCGTGGTTACGGTGGGAGTGACCTGTGCTTTGGGTGTGACACACCTGGACCTGGGTCCCGGACACCGACTCGTGGTGATCTGAGGGCCTGTTGGGTAAGGGCTCCCAGCCTCAGTTTCCTTATCAGTAACTGGACGTGAAAGTGCTGAGCTTTCAGGGTTGTGGTGGGGAGAGACAGTCCATGATGTAGGGGGAGGGGCAGAGCCGGGCCACCACGGAGGATTGCTCTGAGGCCCCGTAACTGGTGGAGCCTGCCTGGCTGGATTTCTGGGTGGTCTGGGATCAGCGACTCCCATTTTCTCCCGATTCCTTCCTTTCTCCGGTGGGGAGTCTGTATCTCATGCCTGTCTTGCCACCGTGTTTTGGGAGCAGACAACCGTTTCCTGGTTTCACGGATCCGGCTGGAGAGGAGTCTCGCCCCGGGAAGACTCTTGCCCACGGCCTGCTCATCCCTGACTCAGTCGCTCTCAACAGTGAGATGGGGGTGGGTTTTGGACACCGAATGGACCCTGTGATGGGTGGGATTTGGGGTGCTTGCGATGGGGTGGATGTGTTCTCCTGTGGGACTGACGTGAATATTTGGGGACCAGAGGGCCCCCACAGATGTCCAGGCCCTAACACGTGGAACCTACGGATGTGAGTACATTAAGGGCCTTGAGATGGGAGATTGCCCTGGACTTCCGAGTGTGTCCAGTCTAATCACAGGGCTCCTTAACGTCGGAGACCCTTTCCCGGCCGCGGCCAGGGGGACGTGAGTGTGGAGGGAAGACAAGAGAGAGAGACGCCAGGCTGCTGGCTTTAAAGGGGGGCCCTGGGCCAAGGCACGTGGGCGCCTCTAGAAGTGGCAAAGGCAACGGATCTCCCCAGAGCCCTGGGGGGAGCAGGGCCCTGCCAGCACCTCCATCTGAGCCCAGTGAGACCCACGCCAGACTCTGGATCTGCAGAACTGGAAGAGGGCAAATTTGTGTTGCTCTAAGCCACTGAATTTGGAGCGATTTTTTGCAGCGGGAGGAGGAAGCTAACACAGCCCACGTGGAAAGGTGCTTGGGCTCTTATTTGCCTAAATAGTTATACAATCTGAGCAAATATGGGATCATGGAATCACAGCCTCATAATAGAGTCAAAAGATCTCAGGAGTTGAACTGGTTCTGTGTCCAGCGCACGGCTTGAGATGCCGTCACCCCGTGTGAGGGACACTCAGACTGAGCCCAAGAACACGCCACACGCTAAGGGTGGAGCGGACGTGAGCTGACGCCAGCCTCGCAGGCACACGCAGCCTCCCTGTGCTCTCTGGTCCCCACCAGCCCCGGAGCACAGGGTCCTCTCGCCAAACAGCCGTCTGGGAAGGCTGACTGAGTGGTGGGCAGAGCTAGTCCAGAACATTCTTTGGACAGAGCAGCCAGTGCTTTGTTTCTGGAGAACTCCGTTACTAAATACAGGATAAGAGCAAACAGACTGGCTGGGCGCGGTGGCTCACGCCTGTAATCCTAGCACTCTGGGAGGCCGAGCAGGGCAGATCACTCAAGGTCAGGAGTTGGAAACCAGCCTGAGCAAGAGCGAGAGACCCTGTCTCCACTAAATATAGAAATAAATTAATTGGCCAACTAAAAATATATAGAAAAATAAATTAGCCGGGCATGGTGGTGCATGCCTATAGTACCAGCTACTCAGGAGGCTGAGGCAGGAGGATTGCTTGAGCCCAGGAGTTTGAGGTTGCTGTGAGCTAGGCTGACGCCATGGCACTCTAGCCCGGGCAACAGAGTGAGACTCTGGCTCAAAAAAAAAAAAGCAGACAGAATGGTTTATCCATTGGAGTGGACGGTCAAATTGGGAGCAAATAGACCAGCAGATTGGGGCTGACTGTCTAGCAAAGAAATTCACCTGTGGGAGCCAAGTGATCGTCTTCATCTCTACGTGACTGAGCATATTCATCATTGATAACCGAAAGGTGTCTTTGGCTGTGCCTGGACTCCCCGAGGAATGCAGGAATTTATCCGGACCTACTAGAGTGATCGTCAAGATCAGGACTGTAAGAGCTGGATGAAGCGTGGCCGAGTCTATCTACACTGATCCACAGGCCGGGTGAGTTCTGGCTTCCAGGGCTCCTGGGCTGGCGCAGAGACCGCGCCCCCACCCCAGGGAGGCACAGGATCTCGGGTGGGCAGGTAGAGCCCGGCGCAGTGCCCGGCACATCCACGAGACCTCAGGAGTGCCTGTGGGCAGGTGGGGACCAGTTCCGGCGAGTCTGCGGCCGAGGTACCCACCGGCGGCAGGGGAAACCCGCCGTGCAGGAAGCCGGGGTTCCAGCCCCTGGGCTGGCTGAAGCCATCTTCGTAGACAGGAGGCAGCCACCGCGCCAGGGCTGTGTTAGCGGCGCCCCAGCGGGGGTGTTCTCTGCGGAAAGGAACGTGCACAGGTGTGTGAGCCGGGAGGGGAAGAAGGACATGGCAAGCCCCCGACACAAGCACTGTTCTCAACGGACATAAGCCAGGGGCTTCCCTGGGACCTCAGGCTTGAACATGACTCCAGCCTGGGGCGCACCTAGGCAGGTGGACTCTGCTGGCCCCTGGAGACCCCGAGGCATCCCCGGCTGTCTGGGCTGTGCTGCCCCCACGGCCCCCTCCCTCGAGCTCTCTCCCACTTTTTCTTCAGAGCCAGTCTTCACCCTTCTAGGATGTACCGGGCACTTCTCTGGAGGAAAGAAATTTCTGAGGCGCCAAACAAAAGGGCAAATTTGAAATATTGTGATATTTCAACTTCCTTTAATCAAAGCACCATAAGCCACCTAGAATGTCTGTCCCATACCATATGAACTTGCAGAAACTTTAAAACTTGCTGCAGTGTTCTAAGTTTATAAGTAAGATAGTTGACAAGGGAACTATTAATATATTTGTTTCATTTAAAAATAAAGTTAGCCCTTTTCTGAGAGAGAGGAAGTCCTATTTGGTTGATCTATTTGGCAGTGAAAATGGGTGCGATCAATTAGGTTAAATACTGGTGTGCTCCATGAATAGCCTGATCTACAGTTTTATTCTATTGGTAAAAATATGTTTTGACAAAGATATATTTAAATTGACAAAAATATATTTAAAGTGCATGGTGAGGCAAAGGTGCATTCAATACTATTTGATGTCCAAAACTACTTCTTAGTATATTGTGTTAAGTAAGGTATACCTAAGTAGAAAAGGTTCACATATAATTAAATTTGTGCTGTATGTCTTGGAGCATTTTATAGCTATTGAGATAGTGAAAGACCAATGATTGGTAACTAATGCTTGTGCAAATCTGATATTTTCCAATTTGTTTTTAAAAACTTAAAGGACAGCTTTATCGAATTATTTGCTGAGACAGCAATAAAAGTCTTTTTAACGATAGCTCATTATTTGTTCCCTTTCTGACATATCTCAGAAGAAATTTTGAGGACCAAGGTTTGTTGCTATAACAAGACTTTTGTTCTGAAAGACACAGTCCCTGGAACAAGTTTCTAAGGATCTTTCGTCTGCAAAGGCAGAAGAAAAGCATGGAGTTGCTATTGAAGCATGCTTCCTGCTCCGTAAGTAGGGCAACCATATAATACTGCATGAAACACTCTGCAGGTGGAAGAATATTATGGAGGGATTAGAGTAGAAATATCTATCGCTGGGGCCGTTCCGTGGGTTTGCAGGGTCTGTAAGGGTGATTGATGGCGTGGGTGGCGTGGGTGGTCTTGCTCTGGTCAACGCAATTCCCCTGGAGCTGCCGTGTCGCTGGGAATGTGAGTTTTAAAAACTTATTTTTGATTTGTGATCTTTCAGGAAACCGATCTCAGCACTCCCATCCCCAGGGGGTGGCCAGCAAGCCGCGTCTCCGAGTTGTCACCAATGCTCACGGGACAGGTCGCGATGTCAACTCATCACCACTGCGCAGTGGGGCCTTGGTGCCAAGCAGCGGCCCCAGGTCTTTGGAGGGGAGTGAACGCCTAGCACTTCCCCCACCCCAATACGAAACCCTGCTGTTTACTAGACAGAGTCCCGGAACCAGTACAAAGTATTCGCATTAGTGCCCACCCTCTACGACGCGCTTCATTTTTCCTTCATACTGATTCTTGGCTCCTTTCTTGTAAATCTTTCCAGATTCGGCCCCAGAAAACTCCCTCCTTCATTTATTGATTTTTTTTTTTTTTTTTTTGCCAACTCTGTCACTATTTATATGTCATTCAACAAATCAGAGTGAGGGCGGTTTTGTTGTCCGCCAGTAGAAGTAATTACCGGTGGTTATTTCTCCGAGATCGTATGTATAAACCTTTGAAGATGATGCCTTACAACCGTGATGAACCAGACATTCAGTAGGAAAATGCTCAGGAGAAAGCATT